CTGGATCTGACAGCCCTTGTAGAGGGAAGGAGTGAAAACTCAGAGGCCAGCACGTCTGGCCGGCCTCTGTGTCCCAGCCACCTGGGCCTCGAGGTGTGGACGTGCTCCTGGTGCCGCCTAGTGACCAGCCAGGGAAGTTCAGGGCGGAAGGGAGAGGATGGAGGAGTCGGAGGGGCGTGGGTCCAGGGTGAGGTGAGGCTCTGTGGGACCAGCACAGAGTAGGCCAGTGCAGAGCGAGGGGACTGGGCACCCGCTGTGTCACGAGGTGGCTGTCGGAGGGCCCTGAGCTGGAGCCATCGCCTCTTTACACCCTTTAATGCTCTTCCTCCTCTTCCGGGGAGGAAACTGAGCAGGTTCCAAGGCCACACACGTTACACGGCCGGATGGGGATGTGAGGCAGCGCTGGTGGCACCTTCCATGGCATCTCCACGCTCGCCTGCCCAGACTGCGTGTGGTCCTCGGCTGTCAGACAGGCTCCCTCCCTCCTCATGGAGGCCGCTTTCCGGGGCTCCCAGGGCCAGGACTAGGCAAGGCACCAGGGTGGGAGCCATGTGTCCATCCCTGTTTTCCGAGAAGGCAGGCCAGTCCACGCCCCCTGCTGTCATCTGGGACGTCAGGAGCCAGCCACGTCTCAGCTCTCCCCACCTCCGTCTGTCATGTACACCGTGCCTGTCCACCAGTGAGCGGCCGTGGCGGTGGACTTGGTCGCATCTGAAATGCACCCCTGGCAAGGAGGAGGAGCAGAACAGAGGCCCCTTGAGGGCCACTGAGGCAGCCGAGTGAGCATTTGGCCAGGGGGCTGGGACCCCTTTGGGCCTGCTGTTGGAGTGGCTGGGGGTCGGGGGGAGACCTCTCTGAGCCTCAGCATCATCACCTGTCAGGGACCTGCTGATGCCACCTGGCACTCGGTCATGAAGATGGTCAGTTCGGGATGTTTGCAGAGCCTGGCCCAGGTCCTGGCGCGGAAGAGCTCTGGGTGAGAGGAAGCCCACTGTCCCAGTCGCTCCCTTTTCCCAGGCGGGGCTGCCCCTAGGGATGCAGCTGGGGTGGGCGGGGCTCATGGTCGGCTGGGGGTGTCATCTGGGGCAGTCAGCTGCTGGCACCCCAGCCAGGCCTGGAATTTCCCGGAGGATGTAATTTGGGGCACAGGGTGGGAACAGAGACCTGTTTCTGCGAAAGCCCAGGCATCCTAATGTGAGGCCGTTGGAGCACCGTCCAGGTGCAGATGCTGCCAGAGTGCAGGAGGGGAGGGAGGCAGATCCGCACCGGCGGGCAGCCAGGGCCTGGGCCTGGGCCTAGATAGACGCTTCCTGCAGCCTGATTGCCTGGAAGCCCGGGCTGGGCTCCTAGTCCGACCTAGGGACTTGCAGGAAGGGTGGAAACAAGGAGGGCCTCCTAGAAGAGGTGACACCCAAACAGAATAGCAAATAACCAGTAGGAAGCTGCCATTCGAAGGAGGGGGGCTGCCCAGGCAAGAAATAGGCTTCCAAAGGCACCAGGTGAGGAGGAGGGCAGGCTGAGCAGGCCACAGGAGCGCGTCCCTGTTGTCAGGGCCACAGCAGGCGTGGGGACAGGAGGACCTCGAGTGCCACACTGAGAACTTTAACCCAACGTGGTGCGCCCTGGGTGGGGCAGGGCACACAGAAAGCTTCTTAGCAGTGGAAAGACAGTCTGTTTATATTCTAGAAAGTTCCCTCTGCAGCTGGAGAAGGGCAGGCCTTCGAGTCAGAGGAGCAGGGGTCTGGTTTGGTTCTACCCCGTCCTGCTCAGGGGACCAGGGGCACATCACTAAGGTGCTCTGCACTGCTCTGTACAGCGAGGATGAAGCTGCCTCGCTTGCAGGGTGGTCTGCGAGGTCGGCGTTCTCTGTGCCAGGCCTGGGCTGGGCTGGGTGCTCGGGATTGAACAGGCATGCCCCAGCCCTCAGCAAGCTTGTGGGGGGGTTCCGGGGGCACCGACAGGTCACCCTCTGACTCAGGGAGGGCCGGGCAAGGAACTAGGTACTTCAGAGAAGCAGGCGTTGGAGATGGGCTTGGGGAGACTGAATGTGGACGTGTGGACGGAGCCAGGCAGGCCAGGGGCTGGGTCATCCCAGGGCTCCCGTCACCGCGGAAAGTCCACGCAGAGATGGGGCAGTGGGACTTCCCTGCCCCTCCCCCGCATGAATGGCCCGTCGCCTTCTTGGGAGCACAGGCCCCACCCGCTGTCCTACTCCGTGTCCCTGGGGAAGTTGCCAAGCCTTTCCTCACCTGCTCTCCTCTCTCCTCACCTGCAGAGTGGGGGTATCGGCACCTCCTGTGCAGAGTGCTCCTGGGGCTTAAAGGAGATCACTGTGCGCAGCCTGCAGCCCAGAGCCGCCCCATCTGCCTTCCTTCAGGTCCCCCCAGATCCGCCCCTCACCGCACCTCACCTCAGTTTTGACCTCTCTCTGGCGGCTCTGGGAGAAGGTGATGTCATCGTCATCTCCCACCAGGCGTCCCGGTCCCCGTGCTGTTCCTGCGCCTTTCCTGAGGCGGGACCTTTCCGGCGCTCTCCACTCCCCCCACAGCACGCGGGGGTGTTTGTTTTCCTGCGTAGCCTGGGCAGCTTGCTGATGGGCCATTCCTGCCACCCCCACGGCCGCAGCCTCTTTCTGGGCTGCCTAGTTTTCTATTGATGAGGTGGGAGTTGGGGAGGCGGGGGCAGAGCAAGGTGATTGTTCTTTCCTCCCTGCTCTGCTGTTCCCACTTGCCTTCCCTTCCCGGATGTGTAAAGGACATGGATACAGAAAGTGATGTTATTGATGAAGTCGCCATAGCAACGACCCTTGGGAGGCACACATTCCAGCTTTGTTATCCTGGGGGCAGTGAGAGAGACTGCTCCTCATGCAGACTGGGCGCGCCCCCGCTGCCCTGCTTAGACGCATCTGTGAACTTCGCTTTGCAGAACGCCACATACACACTGGTTAGGGGCAGGCAGATCCTGCCGCCATTGAACTCTGTGCACATTCTGGTGGAGTATCCGAAATGATGGAAGGCTTGGGGACAAATCGGCCCTGATGGGGAAGGCAGCCGAGGCCTGTCACAGCCACAGGAGGAAGCACTGGGCACTCCGGAGAGGACGGCGCTGCCCGGGCCATGGCTCTGCCTCTCACGCATGTGGCCTTGGCACATCTCTCTCCCACCCTCATCCAACCTCCATGTGCTTGTTTGTGAAAGGGCCATGGCAGTAGCCACTCCACAGCTTATGGTGAGGGTTAGGTTAACCTGAGTATAGTCAGAGCCCAAGTCCCCGTATCACATCTGAAAGCCTCACAGAAAGGGGCTCTGAAATGTGTCCTAATTCTAGCCTCCTCTGGTCCCCACCCCCTCCAGGCTCCTTCACCTCTTCAAGGTGATACCCACAGCCTCCACCTGCTGCTGGCCTGCAGTCGTGCCCTGCTTCCCCACGGTGTCCAGAGATCTGGCCCGATTTACAATTCTTCCCGCTCCCCCTGCCCAGGAGGAGTCCCTCCAGTCCTTACCTGCACCCTGAGCAGCCTCCCTGGCCAGAGAGAGGAGTGCACATGCGTGAGCGCCTGGAGGCAGGTCTGTGACTCCACGTTCACAGGTGGAAATTAAAGCTCAGAGGTGACGTGATTGCCTGGGGCTGCCGCAGCTGGCAGAGTCTGAATTGGGACCTGGCGGTGTCGCAGCAGAGGATCTGTCTCCTGGCTCCCCGCCCCATCCCGGGCACCAGCGAGACACTCGGTCCAAGTTTGCAGGACATAATTGGATTTGGATGGGTTGGATCAAATTAGATTTGACCTGGCAGGCAGCCCGCCAGGCTGGCACTGGGCCCTGAAGACCGGATTTCTGGGAAGGACTCTGAAATTGTATCTGGCCAGGGCGGCTCACATGACCATCTCCTCGGGAAGCAGGTGCCTGCGGAAGCGCTCAGGCCCATGGCAAGTCCCCTAATAAATTCTGGGAACTCCTCACAAATCACTAGGAAGATAAACATCACCTGGGGTCAACGGAAGTGGGTCCGAGCCACCCCAGGCAGTCAGGAAGGGAGATCAAGTTGTCTGGAGGGGAAGGGGGCGGGAACTGGGGTGACTGAGGAGGGCGGGCCGTGTTCTCGCCATCATACCAGTGCCCTCAGCGCTGACGGGGCAGGTTGCAGAGGCCGAGCCTCCGGGGACATGAAGCGGGTGGTCCCTGCCCCCGAAACCTGCGGGCAGCCCAGCTGCATACTCAACGAGACACTTGGGCAGGAGGAGGGGAAGGAGGCTTCAGAGTCTGAGGCCCGGGTTCAGGGCCTCGTGGTGCCTTTTAGCACACCGTGGGCCTTTGGGGCGGGCAGCTTATCACAGTTCCCTGTCTCTCAAGGGGGTGCTTGTCTTTATAGGGGTGCACATGGAGCTGGAGGCCAGCGCCTGGTTGAGCAGGGCTTTGCACTTGGGGGTGAGGGTTCTAGGGGTCCTGACCCAGGTACATGTGGAGGCCCCTCTGGCAACTGATGGGGCTGGTGTGGTTCAGGGCATGGCCCTGAGGCTGGCGAGGACGAGGCTGGGCGGTCCCGTGGGTGGCCTTGTGCAGAGATTCCGTGTGAGAGGTGGGTGAGCGGGACTGACGGTGCCCGGGGGGACACCTGAGGCTGGCCAGGCCAGGTGAGCTGGGCTCTGCCTGCCTCATAGGAGCAGATGGCATTTCTGTGCAACTGAAAAGTGCCGCACACACTGGTTTAATGCCACCTACGCCCGCTTTAGTGGGGACATGTCTAAAGCCCTGACCTGAAAGCCGTTTCAGAGACCACAAGCGGCTCCCTGTGGGTCCCTCACTGCCAGTTACGGTGCGGCTCTCGGAGCGAGGCCTGGCTCCAGACCTGGGCACCGTGTCCTTGGTTTGTCCCCAGAGGCCCGCTCTCTGGATGGCTCCGTGCACTCCATGTGACATGATGTTCCATGGGCTGTCTCTTTTCAGCCTGAAATTTTCTCTCTCCCCTGATCCCCAACCCCTCTCTTGTCTGTCTCTTCCCAGAGGGTATGAACTGCATGAACAAAGACCATGGCTGTGCCCACATCTGCCGGGAGACACCCAAAGGTGGGGTGGCCTGCGACTGCAGGCCCGGCTTTGACCTTGCCCAAAACCAGAAGGACTGCACACGTAGGTAGATGGAGGCAATTGGGTCTGACATCCCCACTCGTCTCCTGTCGTTGCTTTGTGGGGGGGTCTGTCCAGTCCACTGGACGTGGCCCAGGGAGGGCTCTCAGCCCCTGGGGGAGGAGAAGGCAGGGCCCCTGAAGTGGTCTGGGGGGCATGAGGGACGGGGCCATGTTTTCCCACCTGGCATAACACCACCCACACAGCCCGAGCTGGGCCGGGTCTTCCATAGGGCCCTGCACGGTGGCCCTGTCAGTGTCTCCTATACCCCCCTCCTCTCCCCTTGGCCCCAGAGACCCACCACCCTGAGCTCTCACGCTTCGGCGGGAATGGAAGGCAAGGCACAGGGTCTACAAGCCTGGGTTCTGGCGGGCAGCCCTCAGTGGCGGGATGACAGAGAGCAGGAGAGGAGCTTGGTTCTGGAGGGTCCCAGCCCAGGCTGCGACCTTATTCCAGGCTCTAAGATCAGAACTCACAGTCCCCCTGCAAGGCCCATGTAAACGGTGCCACGCTGGGAGACCTGGGTGAGTGAGGCCTCTGGCAAAGGGGCCGTTTCAGTACAGCTCGGAGGTCAGCCTGCGGGGCTCGAGTGAAATGCAGCCTTTAATGGGGTCCCCCAGCTCCCCAGGAGGAGTGGGAGCCAGCACCGAAGTAGGACAGTGCCCAACACACTCAGCTAGTCCTCAAAGCCTGTCCCAGCGCAGCCCCCATCAACTGCGTGGGGCGGTGGGAGGAGGCCTCTGCTCACTGGGCAGCTGACCCCCAGACTCTGTAATGTTTGCCCGGGTGTGCAGAGAGTGGGGGGCGCTGGTGGAGCATGCCCAGTTCCGGCGCAGGCCGGTGCTCCACACCAGGCCCCTTCCTGATGCAGCACGTGGTATGGTGGAGCCCAAATCCAACTCCCCATAGGGAAGTGGCCCATCTTGGCCATGGCAGTGGGGGCCTGAGGCCAACCAGCTCCTAAGGAAATGGCCTCGCTTTCCACCTTCATCTGCGGAGAGGACAGCGGCCCTTGTGGTCACCATCCTCCGTCACTGTGATTCTCTCAGGGTCATCCACTCTCCCTCGGGTGCCAGCCACACCTCTCCCAGCTCATGCTCTCCTGCAGCAGTGCCCAAGGTCTGGGGACCGGCGTGCATTAGGCACAGTCCCTATCTCCCAGGAGCTCGCCCTCCAGCCCCCACTCGTGGTTCAGCCATTGCTCAAGGTGAAGATGCTTCCTTCTGCCACGGTGTGGTCCGAGGAGTGGACGAGCCTCCTCTTCCCCGGTCTCTCCTGTGGGGTCCGAGATAAACACTGTGGTCGCCAAGGGCAGGCACTTGGCCATGTGCCCGCTCCAGCCCAGGCCTCTGGCCAGGCCTCCTGTCCCTACACCAGAGACATTCCTTTAGCTGCAGAGCAACCTGCTGCCGCCTGGCAACCTCAGACCCAAAGCTGAGTAACTCCAGCCGTTCGGTCCTCCCGCCGGTGACCCGGCTTCCGCAGGACCAAGGCCCGGGCGGCACACGTGGAGCTGGCAGCTTGCTGGAAGCTGGGCCGGAGGAAAGCACCTTCCTGCGTGAGAGATGCCCGCTCTGGCCAAGCCCTGAGCCAGCTGCCGGGGGGAGAGCTGCCAGCCGCGGAGATGGCCGGGCTGACCGCGCCGCCTTGCTCTGAAATGCCATCTGGACAAGTGCTACAAGGGGACACCTTACTCAGAGAGCAGCTCCTGGTGGCTGCCTGGTCAGTGTCAGGAAAAGCAGGGCCCTGGGTGTGGCTAGGACTCCCGGCCCCGCCCAGCAGAGAAGAGCCGAGCCCTTGCCCAGAGCATTTGCAGGTGGAAGAAACAGCAGTCCCCGCTCCCTGCTCAGACGGCTGTCCACCCAGGCAGCTCTGGACTCTTCCGTGTGGCTACGATGGCAGGTTAGAGTCAAGTTAGCGATGACCTTGAGGTCACTCAAGATCCGGGAAATTCTAGCTCTGGAATCGGGTTGGGAGGTGAGGCCTGGCCCAGCCTCCACAGACCAGCAGGACCACAGGAGCCCTGCACCCCTCCAGAGCCCAGGACCCACTCCGGGGCCAAGGGGGGATTCCCCGTTCTTCTCGGTCTTCCCAGAGCTCCAGGCTCGGGTGCTGACTTCTGTGTAAGCTGTAGGCTCTTCAGGTGCTCACAAGCTCGGCCTGAGGTCCTGTGTGGAAGGAGCGAGGGGCCCTGAGTGTGGCCCTCCCTTGAGTGGCCTCAGGCCGTGTCCTCACTTCCGGGGCGCAGCTCACGGCCTGGCACCCAGAGCTGGGGAAGAACGAACCGCAGTGGCTGAGTGCCCGCTCCCGGCTCCACCACCCACTCTGCAACCGGCCTTTTTCAGTCTGAAAAGGCATGAGGTTCTCGCCCAAGGCCAGGCTCCACGGGATCTCCCTCCCCTGGGATCCACGCTAAGCCACCACCGCTGGAACCCTGGGCCGGAGATGAGCTGTTTCAGGGATGGGAGAGGCCGACTCCGCGCCGCCAGGCTCCTGTGGAGAAGGGGCCTGCGGACTGTGCTCGAAGCCCCAGCTGAGCTGAAGCAGCTCTGCGGGTCTGAAGGGTCACCCTGGAAGTGGTGCCTCCTCAGGTGGGCCTCAGCTCCCTGCAGAAGAGGCGGCCTGGCCTGCTGGGACCTCTGGTCTCTACAACAGCCTCTGGGACACTGCCAGGCGCCATCACTCGGGATGGGTGCCTGGGGAGGCTCCGTGCACTCGCGGGGAAAGGGCCGGCCTGGAACGGTGCTGCAGAACTCGGCTCCTTCACCGGGGCCTCACCACCCCACGACCCCCCTAAACCAGCGCTGCTCACGGGTCACCCAACGGAGGTCATTTATTCAGACTGCCAATTCGGAATGTTTAGCCCCTCTGACCATGGTTGGTCTGAGATTAACTTTGGCATATTTGATCTTCATTAGGGTTTTGCCAAGGGAATTAAAAGTGTAGATAAAATTCTGGACAAGTGGCTAAGGACCCAAGAAGAGGCGCTGTCCTCGGGGCCTGGCGTGGCGGCGACAGGCCCCTGCGGTCTGGCTGCAGAGTAAAGCAGGGGTGGCCGCCCTTCCCGCCCGGAAAGGGACAGCAGCGTGTTCCCTGTAAATAAACCTGTTTGTCATCTTCCCTACACAGACTGGCTCCTTTCTGTTCGGCCCCTTTTCAGCCGCCCCAGGTCGCTGGAACATTCTAAGATTCTGGCTGGAAAATACCAGCCCCTCCAGGCCCTGGGCATTGCAGACTGTGTAACATGTTCAAGTCAAGGTCATTTCAGAATGCACCGAGGGACACTAACTGGCATACATTCTGTCCATTTGGACATGGCCTGGGGGCACCGGGGCTGTGAGGGGGTGGGATTTGAGATGCTGCTGGGACTTGGAGAGAATAGGCACCCAGGGGACACCCTCCACACGCCCAGAGCGTAAGCCGAGGAAAGAAAGCTCTCGGGAATCAAGGGATGAGTGTCCCCTCTCCCCGTGTGCACCCCCCACTTCAGACTGTGCCTGGGTTACAGACATGTGCCCCATCGAGTCAGGCTCAAGTGTCTGGTGGCCCAGGATCAAGTTGTCTGGCTTCCCCCTTCTTTACCTCACACTGTCCGAGTGCATTGGCTGTGTGCCCCTCTGCCCAAAGCCCAGCTCACCCACGTCCCACCCAGTGACCTCTGGGGAATGAGCAGTTCCACCCACGACCTCGAGGGCTGAGGTCAGGAGCGGTCTCATGCCCTCTCCCCCTCCCCCCCCCCAAAAGGAACCACCAACACCGAGAAACTAACCATTCTTGTCGTTCTGTTTATACATACGTCTCTACACTCTGGGCCTAACTAGTGACCTGTAACTATGGAAACGGAGGCTGCCAGCACAGCTGTGAGGACACAGACACAGGCCCCATGTGTGGCTGCCACCAGAAGTATGCCCTCCACTCGGACGGTCGGACGTGCATCGGTAAGTAGGCGCCTTTGCCGCGCTGGCACCCCTGCACCCCCTGCCCCCCACGGAAGGCGCCGTGCGGCCCTGACGTCAGCCAGCACCCCCTTGTCCCCATTTCCAAGAAAGGAAGCTTAAGGGAAGCCAGGAAAAGTGTGCCCCACGGAGCTGAGGGGAAGCCGCCTGCGGAGGCGCCCAGGGCGCTCAGCCCCAGGACCGGGCGCCTCTGCTGGGGGTCACGCTGGGCGCTCTGCAGGTCCTCCTCCTCGGGGAGCGGCCCTAGGAGGTGGTCTGCGGGGAGGAAGGCGTGTGCCCGGGTGGCAGCTCCGGTCTGAGCGCAGGCTTCCCGCCCTCCCTCCTGTGAGACACGCAGGCTCAGCAGCCTCCTCACAGCCTGTCTCAGAGCTCCCCTGGGCCGGGGCGCCGCTGGTGTTTCTACTGCTGCCCCTTCCCCACTCCCTCGCCCACCTGTCGAGGCCCTTCTCCGCGACGCCCCTTCCGTCACCTCCCGGCTGCAGGGAGTCTCCATGGGAGGCTGGGTCACCCCACTCCGGGCCCTGAGCTCCCAGGGAGCTGGAGTATTGGGAGCACCTGGTGCCCTAACCTCTAGGAGTTCCTGCCCCGCTCAAAAATGAGAGGAACTCTTTTAACTGAGAAAAAGGAATGTCAGGGTTGATGTCCATCCGCCTTTGTTCTCTTTCTTTCTCTTCAGTGTTGGCGAGCTTTAGAAGCCCACAGTCAGTTACCGTGGTTATGGATATATTTTTGTTTTTTAAAAACGCCCCATTTCGTATTATCTGACCGGGAAGATATTTCTTAAGGGACTTTCAAGTAACAAAAATAGGGGGTGGCAAGCAGGCAAAGCCATGCGCCCAGAGGTTGCTGTCCCCTGTGACTCTGATCCCTGGTGTCTGAGAGTCAGGCAGGGGGGCGGGGCGGGGCGGGGCGGGGGGATGGTCGGGGGGATGGGGGTGGCAGAGTCCCATCCTAGTCCCAGGTGCTGCTACCGTGCGGTTCTCCCTTCCTCTGTGTGGTCCCTCCTCTCCAACAGCCATTTTTGGTTTCATTTTATCTCATTCCTCCTGCTTTTCTGGTGATGGTCCCTGATTGCCTGTCTTGTCTGATAACTGACGTTCATTAATTATTTTCAGAGCCAAACCAAACAAAATTCAAAGCAAAACCCGGTCTCAGACCAGTGTCTCCATTGCAGCCTGATCCCATCTAGACCCTCCTCTCGCCCTGTCTCTGCCGTCCCCCACCCCTCCCTGTCTCGTCTGCCGGGGTCTCCCTCCGTGTTTGCCCCTGCGGTGGAGCCGCCTCTGCCGGCCGCTGGACCAGCACAAACAGCTGCCGGCCAGACACCCACCCAGCCTCGTCTAACACATCTTGTCTTTGTCCACCCGGCTCACCTTCCTCATTTTTATCTTGTAGTGTCTGCTGCATGCGACAGCCCCTGCTTGGGTCCTTTCTAACGTAACTTCCCCGGCCCCCGCTCTCCCTCCCCTCCCTTAGAAGTCCTTGCCCAGACCCTGCTCCTGGCCATGCTCCCTGCTGGCCAGGAAGCCCTCTTGTCTGCTGCTCCCTGCCCCTGAGGTTCCCCCGGGAGCAAGCAACGGGCTCTGCCCACCTCCCACTGAGCAGAGAAATGGGACCAGCTAACCTCGTGCCTCTCCACGGGCGCTCCTGGCAGAGCTCCTGCCCAGCGCCTCGCGGGCTCTCTGCACGCTCCTAACATGACTGCCCATCTTCACAGCCCCTTGCTGAGCACCTGAGCGTGTCACTCTGGTCCTCTATAGACAAGCAGGCAACCAGCACTGCCCCAACTGATCGATCCCCTGGTTTCTGTGTGTTCGATTGGATCCATTGCTGTGTGTGTGTGCGTGCTTTTGTATGTTTTGTTCTTAGTTTTGCATGAGTGTTTGGCACTCTCTCACGCCCTGGAGATAGGGTATCTGCTGTCCAGGCACAGCCATCACCGGACCTTGCGGCCCTGTCCCCTTGTCCTGTGCTTGCCCTGCGCCTGCCCTCCAGGCCAAGCCCGGCTGTCTAACTGCTGTCTGCGTGGGCTCTGCGGGGGTGCCGTCTGCTTCTGTGGCCCCCGCAGATGCGTCCTGTGTGCTCTGACCTCAGCTGCCGTCTCTGTGTGCACGTGGGCCCTGTGTCCCACCTGCGTCCCTTTGTGGTCACACACACACACCCCCTCCCCGCCCTGCCCTGCTGCCTCTTCACTCTGCCCTGAACACCCACCCTGGAGGTGCCTGGGTTAGCCCCTTGGCGAGGACCCGTGCTGGCCCGCATGTGTTGGCTGTGTGTGCCACGCGGAAGGCTGACTGTTGGGCGCGGGAAGTGGGCTGTCACTAACCAGTGGCTCCATGTTTGTCCCTTACTTGTGTTTTAGAGAAGGATGAGGCTGCAATTGAGCGCTCTCAGTTCAATGCCACGTCAGTAGCTGATGTGGACAAGCGGGTGAAACGGCGGCTCCTCATGGGTAACACTTTTCTTCCACTTCCTTTGTTGTCCTTGCACCTTTGCACGTATGCACGTGTGTGGTATGTGCTGGCGTGCGGGGGTCTGCGTGGTGCTGGCGTGTTGGGCTGTGAGTGTGTGTGCAGGCCTATGGGGTGTGTGTGGGGGCTGTCCGTCTGTGTGGTGTGCCCACATGTGTGGGGTCACGCGAGCCATGTGTGAGTGTGGGGGGCTCCACTCCAGATGTGAACTCACTTTTTCCTTTTTAAAGTTTTGCCCTTCATCAAACACGTGTATCTCTTTGTGTGTTTGTAGCAGAGCCCCCAGAGCCCACGTCAGGTGGCCTCTGCGTGTGAGGAGTCGTGTGCTGTAAACCCCTCCGCGTGCAGTAAACGCAGGTTGGCAGTCAGGGTCCCGGGACCAGCACAGCGCACAGGCGCAGGCGTTAAGGAGGCGTTTGTGCGGGACAGGCTTGTGGGCGGCCCGGCGGTCCTCACCCGTCCCCTCCCTTGGAGAGAAGCCACATTAGGAAAAGAGCCACATCTAGGTTCAGGGCCGGGGGACCTTCGGGCATCCCATCCACCCTGCTCGCTGTATAGTTTGGAAATTTGCTACCGGAGAGGGGAGGACTGGGTGAGATGTCTACAGGCCTCACTCAGCCCCGCCTGCCCCAAGCCCCGTGAGCAGCCCC